GTTTCCCCTGCATTATCTTCTAGAAGTTTCAAAGTTCTGTTTTTATATTTAGATCTTTAATCCATTTTGATTTGACTGTAGTACAGGTTGAGGTATAAGGTCTTGTTTCAGTCTTCTGATAGTGGATATCCAGTTTTCCCAGCACCATTTGTTAAAGAGGCTGTTTTCTCGCCACCATATGTTTTTGGCTCTTTTGTCAAAAATCAGATGGCTGTAAGTATGTGGGTTTGTTTCTGTGTCTTTGGTTCTATTTCATGACTTTGCATGTCTTTTTGTTTTGTGTCAGTACCATGTTGCTTTTGTTTGGGTGGCTTTGTAATATAACTTAAAATCTGGTACTAGGATGTAACCAGCTTTGTTCTTTTTGCTCAGGGTTTTTCTTTTCTTTTCTTTCTTTTTTTTTTTTTTTTTTTGCAATTTTGGGTCTTTTTAAATTCCATATGAATTCTAGGATTGTTTTTTCTAGTCCTGGTATTTTAATAGGGATTGTATTAAATCTATAGATCACTTATCCTAGTATTGCTATTTTTATATTAGTTCTTCCAAGAACAAGGGATGTCTTTCCATTTTCTAACGTCCGCTTCAATTTCTTTCTTCAGAGTTCTATTTGTATTATAAAAGTCGTTTACTCCCTTGGTTAGGTTGATTCCTAGGTACTTTTTGTTTTAAGCTATTGTAAATGGAATTGTTTTTCCTGATTTCTGTTGTCTTAGTTACCTTTCTCAGTGCTGAGACAAAATACTCGACATTCAAAATTAAAGGAGGAAAGGTTTATGTGGGTCACAGTTCTTAAAAGTTTCAGTTCATAGTTGACTGGCTCCAAGGCAGGGTGGCATGGCAGAGGCACATCACAGAGGAGAAACAGTTCATGATAGGCAAAAGGCAGCAAAGCAGTGAAGTAGTAAAGCAGCTTCTTTCTGTCCCTTTATATCCATCCAGGCCACCCACAACCAGAGTGGGACACCCTTAATCCCAACATCACATTCTAAATCCCAGCATCACACATCCTATTCCAGCCACCTTCAGAATTCCCCATCTATGACCACATGAGATGGGGGCGATCTAGAGACAAGCAATAACGTTTGTCTTGGTGGGTTCATTATTGGTATATAGGATGCTAATGATTTTTGTATGTTGATTGTGTATCCTATACACCCCCTTTCCTATCTATGTTTCCCCTGTCTCTTTATGACGTTGCATTCCTCCTCGATATATTACCTTATTCATCATCACAACCTGCATCCTTGACATAGTGCTTGGCACAGAGGTGCTGTGAAGTTGCAGTAAGGGTTAAATGAGCACTAAATCAGTCGTGTACCACATAATAACATGTTGATCATCAGTGGCCTACATACATGCTGGTAATCCCAACTTAGTTTGTGAAAAAACGTTCTCTGATGTTTTCATAACATAAAATCATCTAACAACACATTTCTTGTAACATATCCCTATGGTTCAGCAACAAGTGATTGTACTGGCAAGGCACAGAAGTGCCTAGAACTTAGCATGGGCTCAAATTATTGCTGTAGCCATTGTTAAGTGACAGTTGGATTACAGTGTACATTTACTTTGTGTGTTCCCCATGGAGTCAACACAGCAATATAGAATTTGTTCATGTAGCAGTGTTTGGATATGCATTACTCTTGTGGGCACTGACATTTTGTGCTTCCTTTAAGAGAAAGTCACTGCTTATATTATTGCCCATTGCCCTTCCTGAGTATAGTAAACATTAGAAATAGTCCACTTTGAAGGTCAGAATCAAAGCATCTTAATTTGGGAGAATTGCAAACTTGTGTTGCATCTTTTATCTTTGTTTGTAATTTGAAGTAACAACACTTAGAATTATCTTCAGCTTAATTGCAGTTGTTGATGTGCTGTAATAACTCATCAGCTAACAGAATATTGGGACTATTTTTTAATTAGTGATGATGAAGTTGATTATAAAAAATCATGGTTACTCATCAATATTGAAAGTTTAGTACAGTACATGCCTAAGATATAAGTGCCTTTTACCTTCCATTTAAGTCACATAACTCAATGAGAAGGGCCGGGGATTTAGCTCAGTGGTTCCACCACCTGCCTTGCAAGCACAAGGACCTGAGTTCGATCCCCAGTATCAAAATAAAACCTCAATGAGATACAGATATTTGAAGCACAGTTATGGAAACTAACACCAAAAGAATGTCAAAAGCTTTACAATGGCTGCAGATGTGACCGTTTATATTGGCAAGGTTAGAGTCCAAATCTACTTTGGCTCTTACCTTGTTTTACCAAAAGAATTAACTTACATAATAATAGTATGTTATTTTTATCTCTTCTCATTTTGGAAATTTACCAAGTTTAGTTCTCAGATTGCATTCTATGTAAACCTCTTATAGTTAACTTCTCAATCAACATTGAGTTTTTCATTAACTGTTTGTTTCATTTGCTGGATTTATAAAAATTAGTAATAACAGCTTGATAAGAACTGTTATTTACATATTTGATTTTATTTTCATTTAATTAGCCTAGTGATTTCTTCAGTCTGAACTATAGATCCATGAAAGTCAGACTTCAATGTTGTACAGACCCCTCCAACCTGAACAGAAGCAGGCAGTAAAAAACCAGTGCATCCCAGGTTCCATTTGCAGGAAGGCAGATTCTCTTTGCTGAAAGGTCTCTTGGTTGGGCCCCTCTATCCTTTGGTCCCAGTGCCTTATTTGCCATCTCTGTACATCTAGAACATTTCTGTATATCACCTCTGCTCCCTCTTTAAGTTATGACTGGCTTCTGCTCAAATTTCACTTCTTTGGTGGTTTTAGATTACTGTTTTTCTTTCTGGTTCTTAGGGATTTCCTGTACTTTCTTGTTAACTCATTATTGCATTTAAAAGTACTATGTTTTGGAGACAATATGAACCACCTGGCATTCACAGTCTCATGGAGTCGGAATTGATTCAGTCTCTCTCCTCTCCCTCTCTCCCTCCTTCCTACCTTCCTTCCTTCCTTCCTTCCTTTCTTTGGCAGAGTCTGTCTATATAATCCAAGTTGGCCTTGAACTCATTATATATTCCAGGCTGGCCTTGAACTCACTATCCTCCTGCCTTAGCTTCCCGAGGGCTGGGATTACAGACATGTGTGCCATACTAGGCTTGATACAGCTACTGTTGAAAGCTTCTTGTGTGTATACTAACATAGAACAGAGATGTGACCTGTGCCCAGAAATCCAATGCAAGTACATAAACTCCCATGTGTGTTCCACAGTGCTGTAATGCTCATGGCAGAACTCAAATGTCTGGAGAAGTAAATTGTGCTATATTCACATAATGGAATACTGCATAGTAATTTTTTTCATAGTAATGTGGATTGAACTCACTTGCACTAAGCTATGTCCCCAGTCCTTGTTATTTTTTATTTTGAGGCAAGGTCTTGCTAAATTTCTGGGCTGGCCTCTAACTTGCATTCCTCCTGCTTTAGCTTTTTTTTTTTTTGGTACCAGGGATGGTACTCGGGTCCTTGCGCTTGCACAGCAAGCGGCAAAACCACTGAGCTAAATCCCTGACCCCCTCCTCCTTTAGCTTTGTGAGTAGCTGGGATTATAGGCATGTGCCACCAGGCCTGACAACACACAGTAATAATTTTTAAAAGACAAGATGAATTATGATTACTCCTAACACATGGATGGCTCTTAGAGACATTATGTTGAAAGAAAAATGCAAGTATAAAAGTATACCTAAAGTATGATTCCATTTATATTGAGATAAAAATAAGGTGAATCAATCACTAATATTAGAAATCAAAATAGTTATCATGGTGGGGAGTTTGGGGTTGAGATGAAGCATATAGCAGGTAAAGTGCTGCTTTCATAAGTGGGTTCCCTTCCTAATAGTGCACCATGCTGCACTTCTCTGGTGGATGACACTACCTGGTTTACTGTGCTGTCAGAAGTGCGAGTCAGTTGTGCATGTGTGTTTAAGAGAACAGTGGGAAGCACATTGCTTGTTTTGTTCATTAGTTCGTTTTCATTGTTTCTGGCCAATTTATTTTTCTTATCCTTATGGAAAATAAATTATGAAGTGGTAAAAGTTACTATGACATAGTTCTTTGGTAAATAACCTGATGTAATATCCATATTTATTGTCTTTCACATTGTATTTGAAAAGTTATAGGGGACAAAGGCCTTTAAAAAATTCAAGTGACATGGTGTTCATATTTTTAAAAATAGGACAGCATAAGATCTCAAATATAAATGTGCTTTTGGGGACTCCTGGACAGAGGTGTTAGAGTCCTGCACTTACCAGGAAAGCATTTTGTAGTCTAGAAGACAGCAAGCAGCCTCTGGTTGTAGCACAAGTCTTTCTTTTTCTTTGTCCTGCCAAATTACAGTAAAAGGATACTGTGCTGAAGTCAATTTTGTTTTTAATTTCACTCTAAACCCAATGATGAGTAAACTACTCTTTTTTTTTTCTTGAAACCTGAGAGCCTTCCATGTGAAGAATGATTCAACAATTAAATAAAGTTCTATGCTGGGGATGGGGTGTAGCTGAATGGTAAAGCACTTTCTTAGCATGTCCAAGGCATGGGCTTGATCCTGAGTACAGAAAAAAGAAAAGTACATAAATGCAGTACTTTTGTAATGTGAATTTCTAGACATTATTTAGATGAATCTGACATCAATCTGTATATTTTAGTTACTGGAACTAAAATAAGATTTTTAGCTGTCATTTTTTTTTTCCCAGATATTAGGGTTTGAACCCAGGGCCTTCACACTGAGCTATTAAGTCCTAGCCTTTGCTTATTTTTTTAAGACATTAAGTTATTAAGTTGCCCTGGCTGGAATCAAACATGTGATCCTCCTGCTTCAGCTTCCCAGAGTGCTAGGATTCCAGGTGTGCACCACCCTGCCAGGCTCTAGCTGTCATTTTTTGATTGGCTTACCACATGCAACTGGATTTTCCCTTGAGTTTTTTAATCAAGTTAATTAATTTGTACTTGGAGGTAATAGAGCTCTTGTCTTTACAGAATTGCCTAGAAATCTTGTGCAGGCACGGAGGGCTCGAGCCAGAGAAGAGGGACAAGTGCAATCGGACTGTGCATGATGTTGCCACTGATGACTGCAAGCATTTGCTGGAGAATCTGAGTGAGTGGCATGCAGAGCTGCCTGTTCCTCCTGCCTCTGCGTCTCAGGGGCCTCTGGGATAATGGGAAGTACATTAGCCCACGTACACTTTCCGTATCCTCCTCTTAACTTCTTTTGATCCCCTTGCTATTGCAATAGCACTATTGATTACAAATGTGATATTTCTTTTTTCTAGAAATGTAGACGGATTTTTTTGTAGAACTATTTGCTACAAATTCAAATAATGCTAAATCTTCCTTGGATTTTACTGACTGACCTAGGAAAGCAATCTAAATTGTGATTTTTTTTCTCCTCACTTAGACTTTCTAGACATGAGACTGCCAGGGTGTGAGAAATCCTAGCTGTGTACTCTGCATCAGCTGATCTTAGGAACCAGGCAACTAGGTTGTCTTCCAGAACCCAGTTGCCTACCTAAGTCTGAAGATAATTGATGATCTCTTGGGTCCTTCTAGCTCTAAGAGCACATGCTTCTCAGCACATTTAATGAAAGGTTCACTTGTAGGTTTATGAATATGAAATTCTAGGTCATATAAAATATTGTGACTTATATCAAGATTATCACCCAGTCCATTCAGCCAGCTGTGTCAGTAAGTCAACTTTAGGATAAGCAGAATTTCAAGTTAAAATAATGTCTTAACCTTCAATTTTATACATAGATGTATAGTCTTTTATCTCATGAAGAAAATTTGAATATGGTAAGAAAATATATACAAACTATAAAATACCTGAAAAGATAGATAAAAGAGAATTGAAGAAATTGTCCTGGAATCTGAGGGGGTGTTTTGGTTATTTATTTCAGCCCAATAAAGAATTTGCTATCATTTATTTAACCTCTATTTTTTGTATTAAACCTTAAGAAAAGGACAATTGATATAGATGATTGTGGTATATTGGATGTGAAGAAGAGGTGTGATTAGAGGTGGGTAATAGGAAAGGTGGGATAGAGCAATGGATATTACACGCAGTTTAAGGCTCTTTTTAGTAATTTTGATTTTATATGATAAGACATAGAAGAGCTAATTGGATCCTTGACAGTCCATACAATGCAGGTGGTGTTTGTAATCATACATAGATAGCTCTGTGGGGGATAAATGAACCTAGAGTATGAAAATTGATTAAGCATCAAGAAGTTGTAATTGAGGGTCAGAAGTAGGACCAGAGCAATGGATGGGGAAATGGTACATAATAAGGAGAGGATTGAGAAAATCTTAAAGAGGACTTTAACAAATAAAAGACCGGTGTGCAGGACTTGAGCATAATTTCTGTCTCAGACATGTTGGCAGCATTTGAAAGAGCATATCTTATGGAACAGTGGTAGCTGGTGACAGAGGGAAGGCACCTTCACCAGGATACTGTAAGCCATGACCCTGCTTTGAAGTTTGTGTAACCATAGGCAAAGTGTTTAATGGCCCGGGTCTTAGTTTGCTCAACTCTTAATAGGGGATAATAATTACTCAAATGCCTGAGAGAAAAAGAGTGGATAATTTCTTAAAGTCTCTAAAATTTGTGATTTTTTTGACAATCTGAAAGAAGGAAAAAATGATAGGATGTTCATTTAGATTAGAAGAGCACTTCCATAGGGCTGACAATAGAAGCTGTGAACGCAAATGAAATACAGAGAATAAGTACAGAAGAATAGACCATGTCAGAGAAGCACAAAGAAGCCCATTTATCATCATTTGTTCAACAAACATTTTCTTTCTTTGCCTCAAAACATAAGCTGAAGACACTATAGCACATGTGTACCAGGAGAGATTAAGAGATGTTTCTTGAAACACTGTGTATCATCAGAGAAAATTGAAAGCATTCTAACTGTTGGAAATCTCGTGGGGAATGGATAATAGGAAAACAATGTAGACAATTCATAATTTGAAGTTAAAGATAAATTTTATCTATATAAATCGCCATAGATATGTTTAAAAATGTTGAGTGAAGAAGTTATGGAAAGATACATAATCTAAAAGCATCTGTGTGAAATTTTAAAAACGCAACTCCAAGTCTATGGTTATTATGAGTACCTCTGAATGAGGTGAAGTGTGAAAACATGCATAGAGGAGGTAAGTGGAAGGTTCCCAGTGAAGGATTAAAGTGAAAATTCAGGAGTTAGGCCAAAAGTAGAGTTGTTTCTGGGGAACCAGCAGCATATTTGGAGGCTTCAGAGAGCGCGGTGCTGTGGTGTCTTTGTGGGTACTTGCCCTATCTGAAGTGCAGGGAGGAGGAGGGAAATCTCATCCCTTTCCCATTGCTGGGACAAAATACCTGAGATCCACAACTTAAAAGATGAGAGATTTATTTTGACTCAGCATTTCAGCCCATGGTCAGCTGACTCCAAGGCAGAAACAGGGTGGCAGAGGGGCCTGCCAGTGGAACAGCTGCTCAGTCTGGAGGCAGAGAGAGAAAGGAGGGGTCGAGGAGGGAGATGCACACTCCCAGGTCATGCCCCAGGGATCTGCCTCTTCAGACCAGGCCCCACATCCAATGAGGATGAACCCACTGGTAAGTATAGTATATAGTACCCTGTGATCCAGTTACCTTCCAAAAGCCCCATCTCTGAACACAGAAGGATTTAGGGGACATCCTAGATCTAACAGCAAGTGAGCTAATTATGGAAAGGTAGTGTAGTATCTGGTCATAAAAGGCTGTGTATTCCTGCTGAATGGATCCTGTGGGTAAATTTTGACTTAATACTGTGGAAACTGAAGAACAATTGAATGTCTGTAAGTACAGAAGTGAGAGATCTGTAATGTAGAAATACTGTTTTGATGTAGGATGCCCAGGAAATGGGGGGTGGTGAATCATGACTGGTACCAAATAGGAGAGAACAGAGGCCTGAACAAGCTAGATAGGACCAGGGGTGGAAGATGCAATTAGTGGTATCAAGTCATAGGTATGTGATTATACAGGGGTAATGTGTAGGTTGATGAACAAAAGGGATTAAAAACAAAGCCCAGAGGAACCCCAATTATAAGGCAAAATAGAGGAAAAATGGCTTAAAAAGAAGAGAAAAAAAATAGCCAGAAAAAGTGGTGTAATTTACCTTTAGCTAGGAGACCATTTTGGAGAAGAAGAAATCATTCAGTACTATCAAATTCCCTAAGGTGTGAAGGGTTAAAAAGAGATTCAAATAAGTTTGGCAAATAAAGAGTTGTTGCTAGCAGGAAGATAAGTTTCATGCAGTTTTGTAAGCAGAAGCTGATTATTTTAAGCAGTGAATAACATGGAGAGACAGTGGGAAAAACTATTGCAGAATTCTGCCCTTTAACCCATTTAACAAATAATTACTGAGCTCCTATGTATGCCACTCAGTATGGCATGAGGTAAGTCAGAGAAAAATTTTAAGAAGATTGTTATCATTCTGAAACTCTAATTCTAACATTAAGAGACAAAAGGAGCAGTAAACATACAGAACAATTCATTATACATGACTGTGAGATGGTGAAATGTGGCATGACAAAGGCCAAAAAGGCTTGGGAATTTGAGGGTGGGTTTTAATTTTTAAAATGGCTACCAGGGAAGCCTTACTGGTGAGACATTTAAACAAGGATTGAAGGTGGCCATGTAGGTGTGTCGGGTAAGTTTTCCAGGCAGGAGGACATCAAGTGGAGAGAGGCAATAAGGTAAGGGGTATCTGGTGCATCTGAAAAGCTTTAAGAAGGACAAGGTGACTGGGTTGGAATGAATAAGGACAGAAAGTAAGAAAATAGGTCAGACGGTGCAGGATGGATTGGAGGCCAGATTTTGTTGTAATTTATAGGCCATTTTAAGGACTTAAGGCAGCCATCTGATCTATATTTTAACTGTCACCAGCTGCTTTGCTAAGAACAGATTGTACAGTAGAATCAAGGGCATCCATTAGAATATGACTTGCATTCCAGATGAGAAACAATAATAGTGAGTTAGTCTAGGGTTATTCCAGATGTGATGGTGTGAGGCACTTAGGTTCTGAAGGTGAAGAACACAAAGTTGCAGCTCTTCCTCATGGACTGAATGTGAAGTCTGCAGGAGGGAATTCTCAGGTAATTCCAAGGTGTTTAGATGAACAGCTGACAGGGTGGAGTTGCCATCACCTGTCCAGGGGAGGGCCATGGGTGAGGCAGGTTTTGCTGATGAAGAGCAAGAGTTCAGCTTTGGATATGTGTGCTTGGCGTATCTGAGGCCGTCTGTGTCAAGTCGGCAGAAATTCTGGAGAAAAGTGAGCTGGATATGTAAATTTAGAGTCAGCAGTCTGTCCATGATATTTAAAGTCATGGGACTGGATGAGATCACTAACAGAGTGAACACAGAAAACATCAGAAAAGAGTTTTGAAGCACTCTGTCATTAAGAAGTCTGGATAAAGTGGAGGGACCAGCAAAGAAAGAACAGTAAAGGAAAGAGCAAGCAGTAAGGTCTGACAAAATCTAGCAGGAGTCCATCAAGGAGCAGAGAGGGGTCATTTCATTTCTATGTGATACTATTGAGTAAGATAACTGAGAACTGACAATTGGAAAATAAAATAATACAGTAGGTTATCAGTTAATGGGAAAAACAAGTTTAAGAAAAGGATCATAGAAACACATTGAAAAATTGTTCGATTGAGACAGGATCTGGCTGTGCAGCCCAGGCTGGCCTCTATCCCCCTCCCTCAGTCTCCTAGGTATTGGGACTAATATTTTAATATTAAAGCACACAAAATAATTCCTTCGTCAAGTTTTAAATAGTCTTCACTCTAAAATGTTTCCACTGATGGAAGCTTCTCTGAATTCTTGTTTTAATGAAGCATTCCTTTAACACATCATCTATGATGCCTTGTGTTTGAATACTTAAGCACATTTGTGAAGCAAACTAAAAACAATGTCCAGAGATTATTAAATTTTTTTCTAACTTTGTAATTGTCTCATTTATACCTCATTAGATAACACTGCTCAGCAACTCCATTAAGTTTCTCTAAAGTATTGAACTTAGTTTTTTTAATAACAGTAACTCATATTTCATCAGTTTATAGAATATTAAATTCTCTAATTCAGTAATGAGTTAGAAGATTTGGGAACAAACACAAGTGACTCTTAGCAAACACATAATTCAATTAATGACAACAAAAGTACAGATGAAGGCAGCACCCACACAGTGGAGCTTCAGTCGCTTGATGTCGAAGGAAGGTCAGAAAGATAATTCATAAAGCCCCTGCTGCAGCGTTTATCACTTATCAAGTACTTGCCAGTATTTGCCGTGTAACAAACAATACACTGAATTTATTACAAACATAAATTCATTAAATAATATACTTTGCATAACTCCGTATACAATCTCTGTGGAAGAAATTGAGGTGTGAGGAGATCGGGCAGTTAACCAAGTACTACAGTTAGGAGCAGGTTCTCCCCGAGGCTCAGGCCAAGGTGTGTATGATGCTCAGGCTTCTATTCTGAGCTTTCCGAAGTATGTAACTATCACCTGACTTGTTCGTGACATTACCTGTAAAGACAAGAAGCATACTGAGAATTCAGGGTCAAGGGACAGCTCTGTTCTCAGACTTTTTTTAAAGCAGCTTGAGCTCTGACTGAGGGAGTCAAGGAAATGGAAAAAGCTGAAAATGCAAGGAAATAGAAAAAGCTGAAAATGCAAGGAAAAATAAAAAGTTCATACAATATGCTCCTGAAAAAGCTATGAAGAGACTGGGGGACCAAAGTTTAGTATATGAACATTTGATTTAATTTTATTGGAAGAAATAAGAAAGCTGTGCTTTGGATTATTTTTAAATGCTCGTATCTACTTGCTTTGCTGGGTTTTCTTCTATCAGTGTTTTTTTTTAACTTCTTATTCTTCTATTCTTTTAACAGACGCTCTTAAAATACCCTTAAGGCTTTCTGTGGGTGAGATTCAACCAGGCAACTATGATTGTGATGACTTCGAATGTGAAAACACAATATGTGCTTTAAATATCCGCAAACAGACATCATGGGATGATTTTTCTAAAGCAGTGAGTCAAGCACTGACAAATCATTTCCAAGCCATCTCTTCTGATGGATGGTGTAGTCTGGAAGACATGACATTTAATAACACCACTGATTCCAACATCGGCCTTGGTGCAAGCAGTGTGCGATCCATCACACTAGGTATCAGCCTTGCTACTGTGGAGAGAAAGTTAAATTTGCAGGTTTCTTTATGTTTGTGGGCTTTATAACCTGATACTCAGTTCCTCAATTAAGCACATTCATAGCCCACTTGTGACAGCTGCCAGTGGTGAAAGCCTTGAGTACTCACAATGTAACCATTATATAATGTAGTCTGTTCATGTAAAAATGCCTTTATGGCTCCAGTAATACTGGAGAGTAAAGAAAGTGAAAGTCTTTGATGAGGCTTCATGAATACCTTTGCATTCTAGAAAAATGTAAGAAACTAAGCACATTGCAGCCTCTTGTTAATGCACAAATCTAAACCCAGCTTTTCTGGTCCATTGCTGGGGGTGCTACTGTGCATTAATACCTTATCTCCAGGACTAGTTTCTTAATGAAGTCTAGAGTGGGAGGAAGTCCTGTCCCAAAGATATCATCTCAGCTACCGCACGGGATGGGTCCGAGTGGTAACTGGTTATTTCTCCTTGGTAGACAGACTCCAAAGAACTTAGGAAGGTAAGATTTGCTTTCTGGTGAGCACAGTAAGTGCTCTGTAAATGTTAGATGCTGACTGCCTCTGGAGAGTTTCTTCTGTCTTGGACCAGGGAACTGACGTTTGTGGGATGCCTCTTGCAAGAACTGTGCAGGGTGCTGTAAAAATAGTTTTTACAGACAGCCTGATTATACAGTTAACTAGCTATTAGAGGACTTGCTTGAGGACACACAACTAGTAAGCAAAACAGGATTCGAATCATACTCTGTCTGATACTTTTCAATGTTGCAAAAGAATAGTCAAGAGTAAGGGAAGGGCAGATTTTACAGTCCTGTTAATGTATAGCTCACTCCAGCAGCAAGTATAGTGTTTTATTCACTCATGTATGCTAATTCACTTTCCAAAATATATATTGCCCCTAGTTTTAAAAGCAAATTATCTATGACAACTTGAATTTATGAGTATTTGGCAGGATCATTAAAATAATTATAGAATTGTTATTACATATTCAATAATTGCATTAAGAAAATAAGTGATAGATGATTCTCAGGAACACATTTTGTCCACAGAGTATTACTCAAAGAATGGTTCTGCCCAGGGAAGTCAGTATAGGAAGTCAGTACAACCATGTTTTGGAAGGAAATGGTCCTCTGCCAGCTCTCATGCAGCTGATAAGAAAACTGGTACGGGCAAATTGCTGTTTACCACCACCAGATAAATTTACCCCATCACAATTTACTTCTTATTGTTCAGTGTTCCTGCTTGTCACAAAGGTATAGTGTGCTGGAGTAGCATTTCAAATATAAAAATCATTGAGTTTTATGGATAAAAGGGTCAGTGTCTGACTGTAGCCATTTGATAATTAGTAATTATAACATTGTCATTATTGTTCCTATGTAAGTGATTTTGATGAATCTAGATTAAGCTAGATTAACGGAATTTATAAGCAACAGATAAGCGGAGAGTTATAAGTGGGGGTATATATGAATATCGGGGGCACACTGAGAACAGGTATTTGAAGTAATTGGCTTATAGAAGGGAATGAATGAAAAGAGACTGACCAATCCTATTACTAATCCATCCTTAGAAAAGGTATCTATGAATTGGGACCCATTCTGAATAACAATGAGCAGAGGGCTGAGAAAGCTTGCCTTACACTGATCATCTGAAATTCTTTTTTTCCTTCTGAAATCAAAAACTTTGCTGGTAAGAAATACAGGGCCCAGTCATAAAGGATCTGATATCTCATCCAAGGTGTTTTACACTTTCTAAAGCAGCCATTGGAAGAATCATGAAATGGTTTTAGGCTTTGATCAGGCTTGCTCTTGGGATCTCTAGAAGAATTTGGCTGTATTTTTCTTCTCTAGATATTTCTCTTAATCCTTCCTCAGTAATGCTTTTGATAAATCTGTAGATTGAACACCTTTCTTTTGTCCTTAAAAGTTTTCTTAGGGAGTGAACGCCTTACGTGACCCTTCACGTGTTCTGTATGTGCCTTGGACAACATAATCTCTGGATTCCTTGGAGGTCTTACAGAGAACAGCATAGGTTTGCCCTTATGAGAGCATTGCATCCAAGCTGTCCTTGACATTTCATTTCTTAAACCAGGAAATGTGCCATGGCCGGCCAGTCAGAGCTGCACCCAGTCGCTGTGGGACTTTGTGAAGAAGAACAAGGCCGAGCACGTCACAGTGTATTTGTCAGGTAAAGGTGTTCCAGACTGGGGAGATGTTTAAAAAGTGTTTGGTTGGTATCTAGTCACAATACTGTTTAAGTCTACATGTTTTGGTTCAGCATTCTCCAGCAATGCATGCGTGATCCCCATCAATAAAGTAATTGGATTTTTTTTTTAAATGTGATTAAAGCAAAGAAAAATCACAAGCCATGTTCCCGACACCAATGGTGATGTCTGCCTTGTCTTGACTGCTCCCATTCTCCTTGCTTCCCATTAGAAACACCGTGGAGGCCAAATTGATGGTACTGCTGGGAGTCACAGACTGTTAATAGAGAAATGTCTTTTGTGTGTTACTGTCAAGTACAGTGTATGTTTAACCTTGTTGTTGATAGTATAGGCCAGTAGTGGCAAACCTATGACACGCGTGCCCCAGCGGGCTGTTTGTATCATTGAAAGTTCTGTAAGGTTTGCCATCACTGGTATAGGCTAAATGAGCCTACTATACCAACTATTTTTGAGGTTCTGTTCTGTTTAATATATTCCAAGTGTGAAAGAATTTAATCCTCATAACAAATTGGGTATGTATTTCTGTTTGTTCCCATTTTATATATAAAATTGAAGCATAGAGAGATTTTTAAATTTTATTTAAATGATTGCATTCATGGTGTGAGTTAGTACATGTACATAGCACACCTTAATTCCTTTTACTTCCCTTTCTCCTTCCCTCCCTCCCTTCCTCCCTTCATCTCTTGGTCCCCTTCCTTTTTGCAGAAGATCTATCTTCTCTGTTTCCTATTATCTATCTTGTATTTTGCACTTTGGGTTATTTATATTTTGGGTTTTTTCTGTAAGAAAAACCATGCAATATTTAAGCTACTGTGACTGATTTAATTCACTTAAAATTATGGTCTCAAGGTACATCCACTAACAAATGACTCAAATTTGTCCTCCTTTATGTCAGAGCGTAGTATTCTACTGTATATAAATACCACCTTTTTGCTGTCCATTCATCTGTTGATAGACATATAGGCTGCTTCCAAGATTTAGATATTATGAGTTGTGCTGCTGTAAACACAGGTATGCATGTCTCA